AACTTTGAAATTGATTGGTTCCATAAAAATACATAAGAAATTTTGAGTATTGGGTCATTTTGGTACCAGTGATGAAGGTCGTTCTTTTTATTAAAAGACACAATTTTTGTTGCCAAGCTTCGTGTCTACATAAAGCCAGCACATTTGAAAGTTCTTCAGACACAAAAATGGCTAAAACAAGGAACCTAACGCAGGAAACACGCCTGAAGATAAAGATTCTCAGCCAGGAAGGGTACAGCTGCCGCCAGATAGCCAGGAAGTGCAGATGCAGTCCTTCAGCAGTTGGATACACTCTGCAGAAATACAGACGAACCAACAGCTTGGAAGACAAACCAAGATCTGGGCGTCCAAGGGTTTCTTCAGCAAGAAATGACCGCATCCTGATCCGCATGTGCAGGCAAAACCGCCGAATGACATCACAGGAGCTTCAGCAGCAGTGGTCAAACCAAACTGGTGTCCAGTGTTCCACCCGCACTGTACGTGGCCGACTTTTAGATCATGGCTTAAGGTCCTACAAGGCTATCAAGAAGCCCCTGATCAATGAGAGACAGAGGTTAGCCCGGCGTCGTTGGGCCCAGGCACACAAGAACTGGACAGCCAGGAATTGGAAGAAGATTTTGTGGTCAGATGAGTCCAGTTTCCAGCTTTATCTTCCTCCTACTAATGTGAGGGTACGCAGAAGGCCAGGCGAAGCATTATCTCCAGCATGTACAGTACCTACTGTCAAGCATGGTGGAGGCAGTATCATGGTTTGGGGATGCATGAGTGCTGCTGGTGTTGGTCATCTCACTGTCTGTGATGGCACATTGAACTCTACCAAGTATTGTACCATTCTCGAAACCCACATGCTCCCTTCTGCGCGTGCACTGTTCCGTCGAGGTAAAAACTGGATGTTTCAACAAGATAATGCCCCTTGCCACACATCCAAGGCCAGTAGAACTTGGCTGCAGGAGCACAGTATCCAGGTCTTAGAGTGGCCAGCTCAATCCCCGGACATGAGCCCCATTGAAAATCTGTGGTGGATTATCAAAAGGTCTGTTTCAAAGCATAAACCAAAGAATTTAGAAGAATTAAAAGCAGTAATTCAAGAAGAATGGGACAAGATTACCCCTCAACAGTGTGAAAGGCTCGTGGGGAACATGCCAGCCAGGATTAGAGCTCTACTACGTGCCAATGGCAGGACTACTAAATATTAATTTGATGATGTGATGGTTTATTTATTTTTTGTTCAGTTTTGAACACATTCTCTGTTATTTGTTGACTTTGATACCGACAATGTTGAGAACTGACATATTGAAACTGTCAAGAATTTAGTTTTGTTAGTTTTTCTTGTAAACAATAAACCAAAAAATATAATTTGTATTTGTTTGTATCTGTCTAATGCAGCCACACCTTTTGAAACACAAAAAAGATTTTTCCACAAATATTTCATGATAATATTTGAGATTGTGTAAAATTTTAAGGGTGTCCGAAAACTTTTTTCCACCACTGTATGTTGTTATGACGACATGAAGCAAAGCTCATCTAGTCCAACCCCCAGACAGCACAAATACAGAGTCAATACAATGAAAACACACACTCAGTCACTCTCTGAATCTCCTCTTCCCCACAATCATCTCATCAGTTTACGTCATTTTCCTCCTCCTCCTCCCTGTTATACATTTCAAACACTCCATTTCTAAACTTCCTTTTAAACTGATTAACATTTTTACTGAGTTTAACCTCTTCATCTAAACTATTCCATAAAATTCCATTGTTGTTGTAATATGAGTTGAATATATTATAGGTATGCATCTATATTTGTATACCCACGTGCATAAGCATACATGTGTATACATATACATACACACAAACCCATACCTGACTGAATTTGATTAACCAAAATCATGCAGTTTATAATCATAAGTGCAATAACAAAGAATATACAAGAGCACTTTCTTTTTCCCCTCTTTTTTAATTAACTGAAATTATATATAAATTATATCATTTTCCCTTTTCCATTACATTATTCCATCATAACTCTTGCATTAAGAATCTCTACTCATGTCAAATAACTGTAAATCAAACATCCCTGGTCGAGCTTTTCTGCGACAGTCTTGACTTTGCGACAGTCTTGACGGAGAGCAACAACGTCTCAATTTGTGGCAAACAATCTCGGGTCCTAGACCCACTCATGACTCCGTGCAGTAGTTTCACCAAAAAGTTCTCTAAAGTCATTATTAGTTAATTAAGAAAAAAAATGAAATGAGAAAAAGCAAAACAAAAAGTCATCCTTCAAGCCAAAAAAATTGCGAGGCTGACAACTTTACGAGATGGACTACTCACGACTTTATCCCGGGGAAGAGGAGGATGCGGACGGGGAGGAGAGGTGTCTGAAGAAGGACTTTGCTTCTTCAGGAGAGCTGAACACTTTTAATTTTCCCTCCACCATCACTCTCAGCTTAGCAGGATACAGCAGAGAGTACTTCATGTTGGCGGCACGAAGAAACTTTCTGACAACGTCAAACTGTCGACGTTTCTTCACCAAACTAGCACTGAATATATATATGGACACGAGCGCCCTGGCCAGGCGTAAAATCTTCACTTTGTCCTGGAAGTGAAGAAACTTAAGCAGCTCTTTCAATGACTGGCGCCATAGGAAAGTTGTCCTTACAGAGAAGTTGCGGGATCAGCTGGTTCATAAAGGCGATCACATCTCTACCTTCCTTATGTTCTGGAACATTGATGAAACGGAGGTTAGAGGACTGACTTCTGTTCTCAGCTTCCTCAGCTTTATCCTTCAGGTAGGCATTCTCTTTTTCCAAAGCTTGCACACGTTTTGACAGGTCGCCAATGTTGTCTTCATTGGCACTCACATGCTGTTGGATCTCTGATATATTATCACTCATTGTAGATAATGATCCCTGAATATTGTTTAGGCCAGCTTGAACGGTCTCTATTTTTTCGTCAAAATGAGCCGTCAGATCAACTTTGATTTGTTGAATGGCTTACCAGATTGATCAAAGATTGACCTCGGTCATGACGCTGAGCAAACAGTTTTCTGCATGAGGAAAATTACTCCACAGGAACGACCATCAGCGGGTAGAAGAAGAAAAATCAAAACATAGTCGATATACTTTTATCTGTTATATCTGTCAGCGTGGATGGGACGATCAGAGCAGTTTTATTAGCCCAAATTGGAAAAGCAGTCTGAAGTCTGCAACAGACGCTCACACAGATGTGGCCATTTTGCCTCACCTATGTCACCAATGCCTTTATTTTGAAATGTATTACTTGTTAATTCAAAAACACTAGTCCATACCCAGTAAGTACAGCATACCATACCATGACTTAGTCATACCAAAAATTAGAAAAACCCAAACATTCGGCCACAGGGGGAGCCACAGCAATCAGTCACATTTTAGCCAATCGGTCAATTTGCATCACAACACACACACACACACACACACACACACACACAGAGAGAGTTTTCATCATTATATAGTAAAATGTGACATCCCGTCAGTCAGACCAGGCAATGCAGGAAAGCCACGTCAGGTCAGCACATGAATCCACGGAAAAGGACTGATAAAGTAACGTCGTAAGTTGTTTAATTTGATTATGTACATGTTTAAGTTAATATATTAAGGAATATTTGATTCAAATGTAGATAATAAATTAAGGTTAAAAACTTATTTACAAGTCAACTATTTACAAGATAGGGCTAATTCATGGCTTTGTATACAGCACGATGATTGCCAGTAAAAAGTTTAGCCTGCAGCTCTTACGCTTTGATGAGAACACTAAACCGTGACAGCTCATCCAGCTCATCCAGTTTTACAACTTGACATCTCTTGTTTTATATGACCTGTATTAGGGCTGGGCGATATCTCGAGATTTTAATATATATTGATATATTTCTAAACACGATATAACACGGGACAATGTCACTTCTGTCGATAGAGTTCATTTTGCGTTAAAATGACAATACATGGGCCGCAAGTTCACTCTCTCCCTGGGTGTTTGTCAAAGTCAGAGGCAAGGCAAGAGTCCTCCCAAGCATTCAGTGAACACACATTGCAACAACAACAGGCAAATTTGTTCCTCATGAGGAGAGGCATCTATGTGCAAATTTTCATGTCTCTACAACATACGGGGCATGAGATATGCCCATTCAAAGCTTGCGATTGCAATCGGTCAATTTGCATCTCTCTCACACACTCTCACACACACACACACACACGCCAATAAAAAACGGTCTTCTATTACAACGATGACACATTTCTTCATTTTGCGTGGAGTTTAGCCTGCAGCTCTTACGCTTTGATGAGAACACTAAACCGTGACAGCTCATCCAGTTTTACAACTTGACATCTTTTGTTTTATATGACCTGTATTAGGGCTGGGCGATATCTGGAGATATCTGGCGATATCTGGAGAACTCAGACTGGCACACAGAATCACTCAGTCATTTCAAAGTGATCCATATTTTCTGTGTGTGTCACCACACACTGCGCTACAATAATATCAACTGGTCTGATGAACGGCGCTGCTCTGAAACAGATGACCGCGCCCATTGTACATTATACTGCTAGGTAATCCTCTGAAATAAATTCAACTCAAAACAAATGAGCGATGCTTTGACCTGCAAAATATTCTAATGTCTTTACTGTGGCCGTTCTCACCGCGATTCCCCCAAAAAATACACCAATTGAAACCTAAAGAATGAGAGCAGTTATCAAGTTGTTATCATGTGAACAGTGGGGGGAGGGGAGGTGGACACTAAGCTAACAGGTGCTATAATGCTTTGGGGAAACCCCAATTACGTCACAGAAAAAATATATATCAAGAAAAGTATATATCGAGTATCGCCATTCAGCTAAAAAATATCGAGATATGACTTTTAGTCCATATCGCCCAGCCCTTACCTGTATGGTAGAAATGATGATGCTGTTTCATGATTGGCTGTATGTGAACAAGAAAAGTGTATAAATGAACAGGAGGTCTTATCTGTTGGACAGACACTTCACATCATCTGACACCAACTAACGCTGAATTTACAAAGGGACATCACCCAAGCTGAACTGCCACAGACTCGGTAAGAATAAGTCTGTTTTCATCTGTAAATTATTGCTGACAGAATTGATCATGTAGATTTGTTTCCTATGTCTTAAAGTTAAATCAAAAACAAACAAATGTGTTTTATTCTGGGTTTCCTGATGAGCCAGAGGGTGAGGGCACACTTGACACACCACCCAACCCAACCAACTGATGAGAAAGAATGCCTGATGAATAAGGAGAGAAACTAGAATTACCGCCACGCTGAGTTTGTGTGCAAAAATCTCTAAACGTTTAGAGTGGGTAATTTTTTTTGTGTAAACGTGTACACGGGTTTCACCGCTGGGTGATGCTATTGCTTTATACCAGTAAAGCCCCAGTTATCCGAATACCAACCGAACGGGCCATTTAACCAACGCGCCGTTTTAATAGCATGGAGCACACAGGCTACTGGGGCGTTGTTCGCCATTCCGAAGGGTCTACATTCCAAAAATTAATTTCCATTTATCAGAGTGGGGGCCCTTCCTCTTTTTTTCAAAGGGTTTGCCATTCCAAATTCTGTTCCCTGAGTCCTGACAGTAGCCGTATTTCCCATGCATTTCAGCGATTTTCACTGGGGACACACACAAGTAATTCAGGCAGACAATTTTTCAGCGAACTCCTCTGGTAATTTTATTAAAAAGCAGGGCATATAGGTCCACAGTAACTTATTATTGTTATCATTATTATGCGTAAAAGCCACACAATTCCGTGTCTTCTCACCGCGGATGCTGTGATTTGATGGTCCGGTACTCATTGTGGCCCACTCTTATAAGACCCAATAATAATAATAATAAGTTACTGTGGACCTATATGCCATGCTTTTTAATACAATTACCAGAGGAGTTTGCTGAAAAACAGGTAGCCTAATGTGAGCCTGAATTATTTGCGTGCGTCCCCAGTGAGCGGCTGAGGAAGGGGACAGAGTGAAGATTGTCCCTCACTGTGGGGGAGAGGAGAGAGGGCTTCCCCAGAGGTCGGCCTCTTTACCCGGTCCCTTTCCTCCACACTTAAGACTTATTTTTATTGTGCCGATGGTGGCTTGGAAAACCCCCCCTAACTGTGTCACACGGGCAGAAGGGAAGGCAGCCTAAGCTCAGCTGGTCCCCTTCTCCACACTTTGACTTATTTTATCCTACTTGGTTCTATTTCTCCCTCTCTGGGAGCCTGGGCTCACCGCGCAGCAGCCCACCACATCCATCCACCCCTCCCTCCCTCGCGGCCCCGCACATATACCCCTGAGGCTCGGCTCTCTCTCACCGCACAGCGGCCCTCCACATCCCTCCCTCGCCGCTCCGCACATATACTCCCGAGCCTCGGCACCTCTCCTTGACCAACTAACCTGAATACTATAAACACTACTAACTGTAAACCGACACTAAAATACACTAAGCTAACAATACAATTCGACAAATTACTAGCTATTCTCTCTGCTCTACTACTCTCTCTGCTCTGATCCAACCTACTCGCTATCAGTTTGATAACTGTGGACAGAATGGTTTTATAGTAAGGGGAGGAGTAAAGGGAGGAGGGCAGGCTTTAGCGTGGACGGTTAGTGACGTCATTCACCCCGAAAAAGAGTCATTCGCCTCCAATGTAATGTAATGTAAATTCAAATGTAGTAACCAGGTTTCAAGCTGTAGAGGGCACTCCATACCACATTTTTAAAATAAAATGTAGATTTTCAACAGTTTGCACTAAACTGTCAAGATTTTGAGCAGGATCAGTCAGTAACACTACTATACAACCAGAAACAATGATTATCAGCTGAAAAAAACATGGTTTTAGGGTTTAGTTACTCTTTAAAGACTCATCTAACAAAAAGTTTTTTCATCCGCTTCAGGAAGCAGCTGTAGAGCCGGAGTATCTGCCGTCCCGCTGAGAAATCCAGAGCATCACAACGCCCAGAGAAATACAAGGTATAACACCACAGAAGAGTGGGCACTGAATGTGTTGTGCCATTTATCAGTAGCATGTCAATTTGTAAGATATAATGGTTCTTTTTTTGTTTTAAAACAGATGGCTGCTGGCCGTATCGCTCGTGCTTTTGAATACGCCGGGAACGAAAGGGGCAGGGCGGCATTCAGAGAAAAAACACTACGTAGCAAAAAAGACACTCTGTTTTATGATACAGGTGCTGATGGTCAAACATGCAGCCTCATGTATTTCAGCAAACGTTTTATAGAATGGTTGGATACACTGAAGCAACAATACCCTAAACTTCAGGAAACTCAACAGAATGGTAAAATCATCCTTCAGTCCAAGGAAGGTATCATAACTTTAGATCCGAGTGTAAAGGCTGTGGTACAAGGCCGACAACTAATGGGGAGGTTTGAGAGAGATTTTCCACAAATGAAGCAAACGGTCAGGCCAGGCTCTGACAATGCTAACACTAGAGCTCGTCCTTTTATGTTCCGTGGAGCACGTACAAATGAGCAAAAACGTCGGCTCAGAAACAGGAAACTGCGACAAAATCACGACACTTTGTTTTTTTGTACTGCTGTCAGAGATAGGGTTACTACAAGATGGAACCTCATGTTCTTTAGCATGCTTGTAAAAGAATGGCTAGGTGCAATGCGGCAAAATTATCCTGAACTTAGTCCAGACACACCGGACAATATGATCACACTCAAGTCCAATGAAGGTAACATAAGCTTATATCCTGAGGTAAAAGTTGTGGTAGAAGGCAAGCTAATGAAGAGGTTTGAGAGAGATTTTCCACAAATGAGACAAACAGCCCAATCAGCTGACTTATCAGCAGCAATGGGAAAGTTAACCTTAAACAATTAGGAATAAAATCCTGATGAGCCAGAGGGTGAGGGCACACTTGACACACCACCCAACCCAGCCAACTGAAGAGAAAGAATGCCTGATGAATAAGGAGAGAAACTAGAATTACCGCCACGCTGTTGTTTGCATCTGCGCACCAGTCAAGTTTCTCTTACAGTGAAAACAAGAATGCTTTAAAACCACTGTCCCCACAAAGGCATAAAAACACAGAATAAAACACTGTAAATAGCTGATTCTTAAAGCTTTATCCTACTACTTTATTTTAGGAATATGTAATTGGGTTGTAAAATCTATTACATATTGTTTTCTGATTTGTATTTAGTTTGTAAGGCAAGGTTTCACCTGGGTTGTGTGTGAGTTTTATTTTGCAGTTTTTCAGTTTATAGCAATATAGATGCCTTGACAAGGCGACTTAATAGCGTATGGGGAGATTCTTATAAACATTGGTGCTCATACATACAGGGGAAATTTGTTTTGGTGTTTATATATTGTTTCAGAATGTGTCACAGAAATGTCACAATAATGTATCTTCTGATTGTGTTGTATGACCTCAGCACACTCTGGTCTGTCTGCAGGTTATAGAGGAAACAAAGAGCAGCCTTGTACTCACTGAGCAGGTGGTAGTTTGAGTCCCTCTCATATTTGAAGGTCAGTCTTCCATAGCTGACATGGTTGAGATTCTTCAGCCACTCGAAATAAGACACTGTCACACCGCCAGCATTCAGGTACATGTCCTGCAGGATGAAACATCACAAACTCATCAGACCTCTGGCTGTTTGATCTCTACCCTCTCTGTGTGTGGAAGATTATCTTTGATTTAAAATGTCCTCTGTATTGTTTTTAAGATCTGATTTGAGGAGAATTTTTTTCTTTTTTCTGTAAATGAAATGTCTTTGGGGAAAAAAAATATTTGTGTGATTGAAATGTGTTTGAAGAAACATGTAAAAGTGAGCAGAAGACCTCAATAAAAATCTACTGCATACACAATGAAGGCTTGATCGTTGTTTACATGACTCTTGCGTCTTGTTTTCAGAATGATTTACTCTGCTTGTTGTTTCACATTCATGGTTTAGTGAGTATTTTTTGTTTTAACATTAAATATTCATGACCAGATACGCAACAATCCAATTTAAAAGTTAAGGTAAACACACTCTCAGGAATTATTAATTAGGAGTTTGGGGTGTGGTTTGATCAGAGTAGATTGAAAGTGCTGGACGCAAAAGCCAGCAGCTCCGATAACTGTCATCAGATTTAGGGTGAAATGTTGCTCATTCCTGCCTGGGGCTCAGATGTGTGTGGCATCACATTTCCACCCACATCACAGCAGCGACACAAGCTGAGACAAAAAGAGAAATGGGAATTCTTTCATGCAAAACGCCTATAACTGATGTGCAAAAATGCCACCAGCAACTAGGGATGTTCCTGGCGACTAAACGAAAATTTTAATTTAGACTAGTTGACTAGTCTAAAAAAGGAAAACACTCAAGAAACAGTCCAAATTTAGCACAATTTATTGTTAAGTATTCTTCACACAATCTTCAACAACCACGTCGGATTTTAAATGCCGCTGAAGTACGAGACACTTTGCGCTATGCGGTATGAATGTGAACCTGACGGCAACTCAAAAGTTAACCACTACAACAACATTTAAAATAAATAAACTGCCTCTGAAATGTGGAGCACATTGAACCTTGATAGCAAGTCACTTTAAAGTTAATAAAACATCTAAATTATAATTAAATTTCAGCTGAAATGAGAGGCATTTTGCTCCCTGCAGTATGAATGTAAACCTTATCTGATAACAACTCACTTAACGTTAACAAATAATATAACCTCTCAAAAAAGATAAACTGCTGCTGAATTAATTTTCTAGACCAAAGTGCTGCCAAACCACGCTGGTTTTGTGAGAGGACATCTGTTTTAAAACTCCAGTCTACTCGAGCATTACCGTGGGGAGGGACTGCTGTCTGATGGCTCTGTAGCACCCACTAGTGGCGGGCAGCTGCATGACAGTTAAAGGCTCTCTAAGTCTTCCTAAGCTTGAAAAGTTTTTGTCACATACAGCAAACATGTCCTCATGATCCGCTAGCTACATGTCCTCTGAATATGCTGTGAAAAAGTCTGGTCTCTGTAGGCAGCCCAGGCTCCGCAAGGCAGTTAGAGCTACAGGCTACAATGAGGCTAAAAGGCTGATAACATTGTTGAACGTAAACACAAGTGAAGTGTTTTTGTTGCCATTTGCGGAGCCTGGGCAGCCTACAGAGACCGGACTTTTTCACAGCATATTCAGAGGACGTGGCTAGCGGACCGTGAGGAGATGTTTGCTGTATGTGACAAAAACTTTTCAAGCTTAGGACGACTTAGAGAGCCTTTAAGCTCTTGTACATGAATAAAACACTAATTGGTTTAACCGACTAATATTTCTGGTGCCGACTAGCACAGGGGTCGACATTTAACGTTTAAACGTCTAATAGTACGCGCATCCTTACTAGCAACTACCAACAACACAGGACACTCTGTGTTTTGTTTTCCGCAGTTATACCAACCTAAAAGGTACAGACACATCAAACCGACATCAAAGAACTAGCGGTGACGAAAGCCAACTGTTGTGTCGTCTACGTCGCCTCACGTCGCCCTGTGTCAGTTACATTTGAACACACTACATGGACTACATCCGACGGCCAAGTGGCACGTATGTTCTGCGCCTGCGTGAGAGAGAGTGGAGTGAGAGAGTGGTACATCCTGTCAGCCGAGGGGTTTCCTATCTGTGCAGCCGAGCACCGCAGCACCTACACGGACTATTACATCCAGACGGTCCAGGTGTTTCCTCCACAGGCTCCACTTCACTCAGCTGCCCGATAAACCCGCTGCTTCTTCCCACTTTAACCTGAATAACAAACCAGGGCTCGGTACTCCGGTTGGATCCAAACGGAGAGCCGGGGCTAGCTCAGAGACTAGCGGAGGATAACTGGCTGTGCTTCCCTCCAGTCATGTTGCGGCCAACGCTCCGATAGCCGCTCCCAGCTAGCCCCGGCTCTCCGCTTGGATCCAAACGGAGAGCAGGGGCTAGCTGGGAGCAGCTAGCGAAGGCTAATTGGCTGTGCTTCCCTCTGGTCATGCTGCGCTAGCCGCTCCCAGCTAGCTCCGGTTTCACTACAGGCAAATTCACTCGCTACAGGGGCGAGGAAATAAAACCTGAACAGCCAATCAGAGTGATCTCTCTCACCGACAAGCTCCGCCGCCAATTCAACATGCTCAATCGGCCGAAAAGCCGCCGACGCCAAAGTGCCAATGGTGCGGGACACACCGCAAAAACTAGGCCGACAGACGCTCACCGATGGCCCGACTTTGGTGGAGGGCCGACCGTCAGCTTGGTGTGTCAGGGCCTTAACACAACATGACTTTTCAAGCCACTTCACTGTCACAGACAAATTTCCAGTGTCGGGATAAAATCTTGAGTTTTACTTCAATTGGTGCATGCTCCTGTGATCTTAATCGTTTGGTGTGAGCTGGTCATAAACGGTAAACCATAAACCAAACGGTTTTTAGTCAGTCTTTATCTCGTCTTTAGCAAGTTTATCGTTATGGATTACATCGATGCCGAACTGACAAGAATACTGCCGACACATGGAGCCTTTTAGCTTGTGTTTCTAGAGTTTTGAGTTTTGTGGACACGTGAGGAATTGTTAATATGTCATATTTCTTAAAGGGAGTTTAGTGTAATATTTTTCACCAGGAGCAGGATGGGAAATAGTCTCAAAGTGAATCTAGTTGTAGTCTTGCAAATAGTGGCCCTGGGGAGAGCACATGAGAGCTACTGGAGAAAACACAAGTAGCTATCCTCTTCCTGTTTTGGTTGCACAATTATTGACGCACTTCCTTTGTGCCATAAATTGAGAGTGATAACACGGCTTATAAGGAACCAATCTAAACGCCGCTGGTGTCATTATTCGATAGCCATCACACTGTTTGATATGATAAACAAAACAAAAAAAAGTCTATTTCAGTGTCTCCGTGCAAAATGTTATAGTTGGCTTTTCTGTGTGTGTGTGTGTTTGTGCTTACAGGAATAACCATGACATTGTTCTCCAGGAAGATCTTGTCAGCGTCTGGGGTGGTGGGACCGTTGGCACCTTCGGCAATGATCTGAGAGAGACAAAAAACAAACGCACACTTCACATGACTGCAACCGAGTTGCCCTGTTCTTACTCGTTCTTATGTGGAGTCAACTGACACCTGGAGGCAAAGCACCCTGGGTAAATCAAAGTGAGCGTTTACCTTGGCCTTGATCCTGGGGGCGTTGGCACGTGTGAGCTGCTTTTCTCCAGCAGCAGGAATCAGGATGTGGCAGTCAGCTTCCAGAATGCTTCCTTCGTAGGGTTTGGCTCCGGGGAAGCCCACAATGGTGCCGTGTTCCTGCAGGTAAAGTGCAGAGAAACACACATGAGAGAAATATTTGAATGTTGTCTCCTTGTTCATCCTCTTCTTGGGCCGTTTTGTACTTTTTTATTACACCAGTGGTTAGCTTCTTTCCTTAAGGGACCCCTATTCTATCATTAAGTAGACAGACGACCCCTGACTAAGTAACATATTTTACAGATTTATCATATTATATCCAGTGCATAACAATAACAGTACAGATCAAGTGATAAACTTTACAATCCACCCACATAGTGAACGCAATAGCTGCAGGAAGTTTGTGTAAAATGAGCGATTTGGATCAGATTTGAGCAGATTATCTCCTATGAATATCATACCAGAGACCAGTTTTCCTGATATTTTGGGGACTTTTTAAATACAATTCCCCCTATGTACTTTTTTTAACAATCATGCATACTTAGTAGACTTGTTTTTTCCCCCCCACAAACTCTGCATTTTCTTCTCCCCGATGTTTGGCAATTGTTCTGTGAGCTCTTCGGTTGTTTTAACTCTGCAGTTTTGTGATGCAGGATGAGGCTGTTTAGCAAAGAGTGAAAGCTCTGTGAAAGCAGCTTGTGTTCAAGTCTTCACTGTGCCCTTATCCTGTGATTGTATTTTAATTTTATACCTTGAATAATAATCTTAACTTAAAAAAAACAATTTCATTTAGTCTTCTTGACAGAAATGAATGAAATGCTGAGATCTAGGTCTAGTGTACCCTTGAAATCAAGAAGGCCTCCTCTCCAATGGTGAAACTATGGCAACCTCTAGTGGGGATTGGGACCCCCAGTTGGGAACCATAGGTACAGAGGCCCATGTATGTGGATACTACCTGACATGTTCCACCCACTCAAACGCCGTTGCAGATCAAGTACCCCCCCTCATGGCAACAGTACTCCCCAATGGCAGTGGGTCCCCCCAGCAGGATAATGCAACATGCCACACTGCAAAAACTGTTTAGAAATGGCCTGTGGAGCGTGACAAAGAGCTCAAGGTGTCGACCCGGCTTCTAAATTTCCCAGGTCCCAATCTGCTCAAGGATTCTTGTGATGTGCTGGTACCTCAGATGTACCCCTACTCCAAGATGGGGCCTCCTTGGATCAGACTTGCTCTGACCTGTCGAGGCATGGACACAGGATCTCTGGGAGTGTCCTGTGGTGTCTGGCACCAGTGCGTTGGCA